TGTCTCTAAGTGATAAGAGTCAATGGGAGTATCTTTAGATAAGCCCTCAGCCTTGTTAATTAATCTGGTCAAATGACCTTTAAGGCCAATGTAGGTTCTCCTTAATTGCCCAGGAGTAGCCATGTTGGGCTTGGGTCCAAACTTCATGGGATTAGTATATGTATTACTAATGAAGCTTGGATACTTGTTCATTAGTGGACAAGTAACATTAAATGTAGCCTAGTTTAAGGTGGCTAATTTATACTCTACCTCACTTGAGGTTAAATGTACCTACCTAACAACAAGTAGCTAGATATTTTGTGCACTGTCTGAACTTCACCATTAGTTCTCGTCCGGTTAGCTCTTCAATATCACCATCAGAGTTAATGGAGATTATCCAGCAATACACAAAATAGATACACGAAATAATGAATACAAGAGAAATATTATGGAGACACTCCAATCAGAGTTGTCTCAAAGTTTAATCCGACCCTGTTTAGGGTCAGCACAAATAGTATAATACATACACTACTGACTAGCTTAGATCTAGTCGTGATAATTCCTAACTAAGAACTATAAATTTATTTAGTCTGGGCTTGTACCAAATTCAGCACAATCTCAGCCTAAATTCTACCTAATAAGATTAGTAAAGATTATTGTGGTGCAGTAAGGTGAATATAATTGTGCTGTATTTTTGGGTTTTTTGGTTTTATAAGAGTGCACTTGCACACACAAGTGAAAACAATTATGTACAGTTATGTTTGGCTTGCCAGCCACAGCCGTTTGTGATAGTTGATGGTGTTGATTGACTTGTCAACCACATGCAACCTAGACTCACCTGACAAGTGTACACCATCTCTGGTCAGGTTCTGTCTATAAGGTCTGGCTGTAAATTGGATATATGTGGCATTCAATCTCACTCGTTTTTTCAGCCTGAAATTTATGTACTTAGCAGCTCTCTGGTAGTATTCTGGGGTTATTCCCCAACGATTATCTTGACTTGGTTGGCGAGGTTCCACTAATGTGAATACTACCGAATTACTGATGAGCTTGAAAGAAGAAATTATGGCTTTAAGGTGTTTGATCACCTCAGCTGGATGACGAGTGGGATGAATGTCATTACCACCTAAGTATATAATGGTTAGATGGTGAGGCCACTCTAACGCAGGTGTTAGTGTGGAGTTGTTATAAAGGTTATGAGCTGTTGCTCCTGGTGACCTAAAGATTCTCACTTCTGTGTGAGGTATAGGTCTAAGTGTTGTGGGTAATTGGCTATGACCCACTAATGCTACCTTATACATGAGGTGAAAGTAGTAATATGTTGGTGTGACTTAGACTAACTGATGTGTTACACTGTTGGTTGACACAATTAATTAAATAGTTAGTCTAGCTTACATCACACAAGGATTAGTTATTAATGATTAATATTTGTAATTATAAATTTAAGCCTATCCGGTTCGAAGGACCATAATGTGGGACATTTGGGGCTTGACTCTAATTATTTAAATATTAATATAGTAAAATTAATTACGAAGGACCACCCACTTTTATAGTAAAGAGGGAAACTGAGAAAATGTGATCATAAGAACATTCTAGATGAACCAGTAACTATGGATAAAATACTAGAGAATATGATCATTGAAATAATTAATGGGCTGTATAATTAAATGAATCAAAGCCTCAAACACCTACATTGGGGGGGGGGGGTATTACTGGAACTCAGTATGTCCAGGAACTAGTGTGGTTCGTTCACTAATCCAATGTATAATAATCTAATCCTATGAATACTTATGAAATCATTATCATTATCATTAAGGGGAACATAGATTATGAATATGTATAATAATAATTATAATAAACACATGTTAATCCAATGAACAGAGTTCTGCATGTAAAAGAGTACAGATAATAAATTCGAGGAATACAAAAGGAATCTTAGCTTAATGACGATTCCTTAGCAGTTAGTCACGACGCTTCCTCTGATTCTCCTGGACTCGTCATGGAACACTGGGAGTTGATTAACATGGGAAACGACAGCTCGGAGAATTCTTTACACACTCTGCAAAAACAATGGTTTCCAGTAGCAACAGATTAAACTACTGGATTTCTATGTTCAATAAATGGATATTAATAAAAGGAGAAAGATAATGACCTGTGTTTTTTAGTTGTTATACGTCGTCACGACAAGCTACCCAGCTATAAACCCACCCCCGATCTGATGCATCAAACAAGGTTAAGGTACTTAGCTAATATGGGCACTGTGTAAGTTAAGGCTTGCCGAAGGTCGCGTCCTAGGCTCTAGACTTGTCTTATCCTAGATACTGACGCGCTCCACTGGCCGGTCACATGGAGTTACATAGAACCAAATTTAACAGGTTCAGTAAATGACACTGACACCAAGTGAAGGTATTGTCTGCAAGGTTCTTCACACCTCACAGTGGCGACTTTCTTCTGGAGATTTGATAGCGTTTACCCTGGTGGCTGGGTAATGGCGTCTCCTCGTGAGCACCCCGTGAACACGCCTGCTCGTGAGCGTTTCAACACGTGGACTGGCGTCTTCTTCCGCCCCGCTCCGCGTCCCGCGTTTGTTAACCAAATTATTTATTATGGATATTATCATTTCTCGCGGTTGTGCTTGAAATGCTCGGGTTAGGACGGGTTTATTATTTGGAAGAGTCAAATATTATTATTTGCCAGTTCTATGATAGTAAACGAACAATGGAGAAGAATTAATGTCTCTCCAGGGCATTCACTCGTGACGTTAATTTTATTACTAGATAACAGCTATAACTATAAACGCTCTATTTTGCTTTAGTTGGAGATCAGTTTATCTGTAATTAATTATCACACAGAACACCGTTGTTTATGGAGAATCAAATTCAATTCTCAGGCACATTGGACATAAATGTGCTTATTACAATGGAATCTGACGCAATACTGGAGTCGGGTGACGTAAGAATTCTAGCCTTACTGTACAGATGCAATTATTAGTACGTGTGAACTCTACATTGGGTTAATTTTACTCACCACAATGATTAGTAGAATTAGTAATAATTAATGAGAATACAACAGTGTTGTATTCAGTGTTGGAAATTTCCAACAAGGTTAGGTAGGGTTGGTTAGGTTCGGTCATATATCTACGTTAATTTTAACTCCAATAAAAAAAAATTGACCTCATACATAATGAAATAGGTAGCTTTATCATTTCACAAGGAACAAATTAGAGAAAATATATTAATTCAGGAAAACTTGGCTTATTAGGCAAATCGGGCCTTGCATAGTAGGCCGAGTACGACGTTCTGGCTACTAGGTGCAATATTATATATATATATATATATATATATATATATATATATATATATATATATATATATATATATATATATATATATATATATATATATGTCGTACCTAGTAGCCAGAACGCACTTCTCAGCCTACTATGCAAGGCCCGATTTGTCTAATAAGCCAAGTTTCCCTGAATTAATATATTTTCTCTTATTTTTTTTCTTATGAAATGATGAAGCTACCCATTTCATTATGTATGAGGTCAATTTTTTTTATTGAAGTTAAAATTAACGTAGATATATGACCGAACCTAACCTACCCTAGCTAACCTAACCTAACCTATCTTTATAGGTTAGGTTAGGTTAGGTAGCCGAAAAAGTTAGGTTAGTTTAGGTAAGGTAGGTTAGGTAGTCGAAAAAACATTAATTCATGAAAACTTGGCTTATTAGGCAAATCGGGCCTTGCATAGTAGGCTGAGAAGTGCGTTCTGGCTACTAGGTACGACATATATATATATATATATATATATATATATATATATATATATATATATATATATATATATATATATATATGTCGTACCTAGTAGCCAGAACTCACTTCTCAGCCTACTATTCAAGGCCCGATTTGCCTAATAAGCCAAGTTTTCATGAATTAATGTTTTTTCGACAACCTAACCTACCTAACCTAACCTAACCTAACTTTTTAGGCTACATAACCTAACCTAACCTATAAAGATAGGTTAGGTTAGGTTAGGTAGGGTTGGTTAGGTTCGGTCCTATATCTACGTTAATTTTAACTCCAATAAAAAAAAATTGACCTCATACATAATGAAATGGGTAGCTTTATCATTTCATAAGAAAAAAATTAGAGAAAATATATTAATTCAGTAAAACTTGGCTTCTTAGGCAAATCGGGCCTTGCATAGTAGGCTGAGAAGTGCGTTCTGGCTACTAGGTACGACATATATATATATATATATATATATATATATATATATATATATATATATATATATATATATATATATGTCGTACCTAGTAGCCAGAACGCACTTCTCAGCCTACTATGCAAGGCCCGATTTGCCTAATAAGCCAAGTTTTCATGAATTAATTGTTTTTCGACTACCTAACCTACCTAACCTAACCTAACCTAACTTTTTCGGCTACCTAACCTAACCTAACCTAAAAAGATAGGTTAGGTTAGGTTAGGAAGGGTTGGTTAGGTTCGGTCATATATCTACGTTAATTTTAACTCCAATAAAAAAAAATTGACCTCATACATAATGAAATGGGTAGCTTTATCATTTCATAAGAAAAACATTAGAGAAAATATATTAAATCAGGAAAACTTGGCTTATTAGGCAAATCGGGCCTTGCATAGTAGGCTGAGAAGTGCGTTCTGGCTACTAGGTACGACATATATATATATATATATATATATATATATATATATATATATATATATATATATATATATATATATATATATATATATATATATATATATATATATATATATATATATATATATATATATATATATATATATATATATATATATATATATATATAAATGTTATCCTCTTCTGAAAAAAAGAAAAGTATATAAGTTTTTCATATATACAGTATATATTTTCCTTATTGCATTAAATACTTCATCTGTTGTCATGAGTTTGGATCAGAACATATTTAGTGTCTAAGCTATTCTCGATATTGCTTACTTCCTCATAGCAATTTTTGTCACACGCATTCCCAAGGATCCTCTTCAGGAAACTGATGACCAGCAAGTATTGACGAGCAGTAGGATAACACTGGGAATATGTGTGCCAATATTAGCAGAGTGGGACTATACATTATTCAGAGGAGCATTACCTAACAGACCATTTATATATTTTCATATATAATTATATGAAACTATTGTCTATTTGCTGAACTAAAATTATATAGCAAAATTTAGCTAGGAGTTCCGGGTATCTAAGCGTGCGTAGGATCGCATGTACACATACAAGCACGAGCCAGTGACATTCACCCAAGCTTGAAGGAACATAAGTGCTCCATAACTGGTCTGCTAGCTGGGTAATGGAGGTAGAGTGAGGCTAACATTTCCAAGGCAGAGTCGTGTCCTCCTCTTAACCTCCAAAAAATGTTTCGAAATTACATTGTTTGAACAGAGGCTAAAATTCGGAATGTTTCTTTAAATTCCAATATATACGAATGTATTCTTATGAAAATTTCGCAGTTTAATTGAAAACCTCTGCGCACTCCATTTTATCTTATTTCTCTATTTTCTAAATCAACTTATTTTCTTATATATTTTTTGTAACCCAGTAAAAGGCTTAAAAAACTGCAGTGAGAGGCAATAATATTTATCTTGACACAATCGTGCAAAATACAAAAGACGTTCGCAGTTAAAAAATTTATTAGACAAGGAATCTCTGTAACGTTTTCTGAGTTGACAAAATTCTCTTGAAACTTTACGACGTTGTAAAAGGCGTTGTATGTGGACCAAGAACAGCTGAGCTTCTACACGCCAGCGGAAGCCCCCGCCACTCTCTCTGAACAGCCGTCACTCATCAAGCCTCATGAAGCCCCCGCCACTCTCTCCCAGCAGTTGTCACTCAACAAGCCTGAGGAAGCCCCCGTCACTCTCTCCCAGCAGTTGTCACTCAACAAGCCTGAGGAAGCCCCCGCCACTCTCTCCCAGCAGTTGTCACTCAACAAGCCTGAGGAAGCCCCCGTCACTCTCTCCCAGCAGTTGTCACTCAACAAGCCTGAGGAAGCCCCCGTCACTCTCTCCCAGCAGCTGTCACTCAACGAGCCTGAGGAAGCCCCCGTCACTCTCTCCCAGCAGTTGTCACTCAACAAGCCTGAGGAAGCCCCCGCCACTCTCTCCCAGCAGCTGTCACTCAACAAGCCTGAGGAAGCCCCCGTCACTCTCTCCCAGCAGTTGTCACTCAACAAGCCTGAGGAAGCCCCCGCCACTCTCTCCCAGCAGCCGTCACTCAACAAGACCGAGTGAACCCCCTCCACTCGCTCCCAGCAGCTGTCACTCAACAAGCCCGAGGAAGCCCCCGTCACTCTCTCCCAGCAGCTGTCACTCAACAAGCCTGAGGAAGCCCCCGCCACTCTCTCCCAGCAGCTGTCACTCAACAAGCCTGAGGAAGCCCCCGCCACTCTCTCCCAGCAGCTGTCACTCAACAAACCTGAGGAAGCCCCCGTCACTCTCTCCCAGCAGCTGTCACTCAACAAGCCTGAGGAAGCCCCCGTCACTCTCTCCCAGCAGCTCTCACTCAACAAGCCTGAGGAAGCCCCCGTCACTCTCTCCCAGCAGCTGTCACTCAACAAGCCTGAGGAAGCCCCCGTCACTCTCTCCCAGCAGCTCTCACTCAACAAACCTGAGGAAGCCCCCGTCACTCTCTCCCAGCAGCTGTCACTCAACAAGCCTGAGGAAGCCCCCGTCACTCTCTCCCAGCAGCTGTCACTTAACAAGTCTGAGGAAGCCCCCGCCACTCTCTCCAGCAGCTGTCACTCACAAGCCTGGTGA